GGGGGGGATATGGGGCTGCCTGGGGGCTGCAGGCTTTAAGCTCAGGGGTCTGCAAGCCTGAGTGGAGGAGGTTTGTGGAAGTTCTGTCCCATTCTGGGGGATTTGGACATCCCCAGGGAGTCCCAGGGAGGGCTGTGGACTCCCCTCAGGTCCCGTGTGGGCATGATGTTGTGGGGACAGTCCCTAACCCAGCTGCTCCCCATCCTCTTTAGGCAGTTCCTCCCTGCCGGTGGCCTCCTCCAGGTGCTCATCCTCATGGTCCTCCTTGTCCCCATCCCCCTCGGAGCCGGTCTCATCCGAGTTGTCATCCTCTAGGTAGCGATATCCCTGCATCTTGTGGCGTGGGCGCGGGATGCGCGGCAGCCGGTGCTCCACATGCTGTGCCACCTTCCTCTCCATCCACAGGTAGGTCCCTACTCCCACCACCAGTGTCAGCAGCATGATGGACAGCTTGGCCTGTGGGACAGGATGTTTTGGGATTGCCATGGCATTATGTCCCCCCAAAAAAGTCTGGAAGAGGTCCTGGCTGTGGCCTGGGACTTACCTTCATGGGTAGCCCTGACCACAGGTAGACGGTGAAGATTGCCAGGGCCTGCCACCAGTGGTAGATGGTGAAGATGAAGTCTTGACGTTCCTTGTTCTTGTACAGCATTCCCAGGAGGACTGCAGCAGAGACTGGAATCAGTGCCCCCTTTCCTGTGCCGTGTCCCCTTGGTGTGGGGTACAACCACAGTGGGTCTGTCCCATGGATCCAAGCAGAGGAGGGAGCACCAGGTCATGGAGCCAGGGGATGTGAAGAGAGGATGCATTGGGAAGTTGGAGACCACTGAAGCTGTTTTGGAGACCACCCAGGTGTTTTGGGGAAACCAAGGCATTTTGGGGACTACTGAGGCTGTTTTGGGGACTACCAAGGTGTTTTGGAGACCACCAACACAGTTTTGTGGACAAGCAAAACTGTTTGGGGGACTACCAAGGTGTTTTTGTGACAACCAAGGCATTGGGGGGACCATGGAGGCTGTTTTGGGGACAACCAAGACTGTTTTGAGAACCCCCAAGGCATTTTGAGGACAACGAGAGCTGTTTCAGGACATGCCCACTACTCACTGCTGATCCCAGTCTTATTGAGGGCGCTCCCCATGCCCCAGAGCACGGCGATGATGTAGAGCAGCGGCGCCTGGGCCAGGTGCCGTGGCTGTGGTGCCCAGCAGAAGAGTGTCACCAGGAGGCCAGCATGGATGAAGGCTCCAGCCAGGAGGGGGATGTGGCGGCGCAGCCGCCGCGTGGACAAGGCCACGCTGGAGCAAGAAAAGCCGTAGGCCATGAGGAGATACGCCAACTTCTCCAGCCCCAGGGCACACACACCGTAGTTCTGCAATGAGCACACACTCAGTGTCACCTGTCCCCACTCTGTCACCTCCCACCCCATCCCAGGTCCTACCAGGGAGAAGCCAGTGCAGACAAAGAGCACCTCGAAGCCGCTGTAGATGAACAAGGGGAAGAGGTGCCGCAAGCGATAGTCCCTCATGTGCTTGAAGGGCAACTGGAAGATGTTCCCCCAGCCGATACTGCGCATGTCGATCTCCTCCATGGGCTCGTATGCTGCACCACAAAGCACCAGCACCTGTGGCACAGCCATGGGTGAGGCACTGGATCATCCCAGCCCATCCCCATCTCCTCGTGCATGGTCCTCACCACCAGCATGGCGACGAAGGCGGCGGCCATCAGCGCGCTCTCCACGATGATGAGGTGGACGCTTCGGGGAAGGCTCTGCAGCACCGTCTTGTTGAAGCCGGGCAGCGTGCCATGGCTCAGGGTCCCTGCCAGGGGGGCACAGGCCACCATTCAACCCCAACCAGGGGTCTCCTGGTGCCCTCACCACCACCCCGTGCCCTCACCGCAGTGCTTCACCGCAAAGAGAGTGTGGTTGTGTTGATAGAGGTAGTTGTTGAGGAAGAAGACCATGGGCATCTGGGCGCAGACAAAGCTCAACTAGGAGATGTAGAGAAGGGGATGCTCAGAGCTGCCGGTGCAGCCCCCAACCCATCCCACCCATCCCACCAGCACTCACGTGGAAGCAGGAGTAGAAGACAGTCTGGAAGATGATGATGTAGGTGTTGCAGGCATCCTGTGATGTCTGCTGCTTCTTCTTGTCCTTCTCCTGCTCTTCCTTGTAGTTAATGTACTCGTAGTACTTCTGGGCCATCCTGCACGACACTTGCAGGTCAGCTGGCACCCCCCTGCACCCCCCACTCACCTCCCCTCAATGCCTACCGTGTGATGTAGTTGCCCATGGAGGCCCAGAGAGGCACGATGACCACCCCGATGGCCACTGCAGAGGGTACCAAGGTGTAGTACCGCTCCCAGTAGTTGCTGGAGACGAAGAGGGCGTAGATGCCCACCGCCAGGAACATGGCCCACTTGGTGCCGAAGAACCTGCCGGGGCGAGGGGCAGGAGGTGTGGGTGGCCATGCCAGTGTGCCGTGTCATCTGGGAGCGCAGTGGGGTTGTACCTGATGAGGATAGGTGTGTAGAGCAGCGCTGCCACGGGGGTGATGTTGATGCCCATCAGCACCTTGTGGTCGATGTCCTCCAGCTGGATGTTGCTGTACTTCACCTCCCGGTAGGTCTCGTCATAGTGAAGGATCAGCTGCATCTGCAGCAGGCCTGGGGGGCAGGGTGTCCAAGGGTTGTCAGGCCATGACCTGAACACCCCAAACCATCGTGGAGTTCCCCAGGGAGGTGCCCATACCCAGGTAGACGC